TCCCTTCATCCCCAAACTCTTTTTTTTTGCTCTCAGGCCGCTGGCACACCTCTAGAGGAGAGCCCCGCGCAGGCTGGGGATCGGGCGGATGCAAGCGGTCTCGGTGCGGGGACCGCCCGAGAGCCGACCACCTCCCCAAATCGAGAGGGTGCCCCCCCTTCCCGCTGCATCAGCCCATCTCACTGCCCCTCCATCACCTCTCTGACCCACTGGGTTTCCTTTGCAAATGGTCTCCCTCCCTTCCCTCGCACACACACACACACACACACACACACACACACACACACACATCCACACCCAACAGTGATGTTGCTGCTGATTCCAGCAAAGTGAAACGGGTATAATGGCCACACACGGCTGGGGCTGGCCAGCTTTCGGTGGCTTTGTGAATCCTTTCTCCCCCCCCCCTTTCTTTCAAACTGGAGTTGTGGTCCTTTTAATCCAAATAGCCTGAGGTGGGGGGGGGCCTTCCCCCCCCCCAACCCTTCTTTCTTTCTTTCTCTCTCAGGAAGTCCTTCTGCTTTGACATGATATACCTCAAAGGGAGACCGGGAAGGCTTTGGACGCCTTCTTGGCCTACCCTTCTGTTTGTCTCGTCCGTCCGTCTGTGTAGCTGGACCTAGAAAGTGCTGCCAGAAAGTGGGTGTCGTTGTTGTTATTGTTGTTGTTGTTTTGGAGAAAGAATGGTGCTCAGTACCTCCAGTGGTCGGTTTACTTTCTGGCTTGCTCTGGCTTAGCTGGAAATAACATACATTGCACATGGTTTTGTGTCCCCCCCCTTTTATTTCAAGTTTCTTATTTTGTTTTAAAGGAAAACGTGCAGGGATTTTTGGAAGCTTTCTGTTCTCTTTCTCTCTCCCTTTCCCCGTATATTTCAAAGGTACATTTAACTTAGGAAGGACGAAGCAAGTGGTGGTTTGCTAAGGAGTCTATAAGTCTCTTTTCCTCTCATGCTAGAAGCTGCCGCCTCCCTCTCATCAGCCCCCCCCCAAGCGATCTGTGTTTTTGTTTTTTTGTTTTGTCCAGGAGTAGGAAAGGCACGTTGGGGGCTGGGATGAATGCCTCTTCTTTGGGAGGCAGCGGGCGGGCAGGCAGGCGGGCGTTGAAAACAGGGTAAAGTGAATGTAATGCATTGTGAACTCGGGTATTGTATGAAGAAAATAGGGATGTAGGTAGAGGCATAGAAGACCGTATAGGTTCTTCACTTAGGTGGGTTTGTGAATTTGCTTTAAAGGACAAGCTGTACAAAGGTTGGAATTAATCTTTCTGTACCGCTCTTTGCTCAGCTACCACTTTTTCCCCCTTTTCCTTTTTGCAGAAAAAGGACTGTACAATGGTGCCTCGCTAGACAGTTACCCCGCATGACAGTTTTTTCGCTAGACATTGACTTTTTGCGATCGCTATAGCGATTCGCAAAACTGTGATTCCTATGGGGGAATTTCGCTGGACAATGTTTGGTCCCTGCTTCGCAAACCGATTTTCGCTAGACGACGATTTTGACAGCTTCCTCCATGCTCGCAAAACGGGTGTTTTCGGGACCTAAGCTTCTCAAGACAGCAATTTAAACAGCTGATCGGTGGTTCGCAAACCGGCTTTCCTATGGCCAATCTTCACTAGACAACGACGAACACATTAAACAGGTTTCAACGCATTCCAATGGGGAAATGCTTTTTGCTAGACAATGATTTCGCTAAACAGCGATTTCAATGGAACGGATTATCATTGTCTAGTGAGGCACCACTGTCTAACCATGTTATGCTAAAGGCTGGTGGAGGAATCCCCACCCTGGGGCGCATTGGGACAGAGCCTCTGCCATCACCAGGATCCTAGTTAGAACCCTTTTTTGCCTCTGTGGATTGTGTACTTCCATCTGTCATTTAGGAAGAGGCTCTCCCCCCCCCATGTCCCTACACACACACACACTCCCATGCCCACACACACGCCCTCCAAATGTACCCACTGAGATTTCCACCACCACCCACCCCTTTGCCTCTTTGGCTCCGCTGATGGGCGTCAGGAGCCCGGTCACACCCGAAGGGCTGTTAGCAGGAATCCCTCCGGCCTTGCAGTCAGAGCAATGGAAAGGGGCACACCTTTTGCAGGGTGAAGCCCACACCTCTCCAGACCGGGAAGAGTCGTGTCGCCCCCCAAAAAAACTCAGGTCTTGCCTTCTACCTCTCCCACCCAAAGGCACCCCTTTCTCAAGCTTCAGCAGGGGCACCCAGTTTCCCATTTTGCCGGTCAGTTTAGTTTTTCAGTGATGGTGGTGGTGGCTACTTATAAACTTGAACTTCTTTCTTTCTTTTTTTCTTTCTTTTTTTTTAAATGTCATATTTTGTTTCCCAAAGGTGGTGGTCGTGAAACGAAAGCAAACATTTGTACTAGAGGAGATAAAGAGCATAGCCGTAATCATCCTTCCTTGGCTCCCTCCAGCCCGTTCTGGAGCAGCAGCAGCGGGGGGGGGGGGGTCTGCCAAGCCCCCCACCCACCCACAAGCCGTGGCATTTTTCCCCTACCTCAGGCTTTGGTGTGGCCGTCGGGGCTCAACCCCCCCCCCAGAGGTGGGGAGCCAGAGTTTGGGGGGGGGGTGCAAGTTGTTTTCTTTTGCTTTTTCGAATTTTAGAGGACGATGAGCCCATTCAGGGACGACAGGAGGCAGCGAGGGGGTGTTTCTCTGGGTTCTCCGTGCGCTCGCCCCTTGGGCTGCGCATGGGCACTCAGGGATATATGTATTTAAATTGAACCTGGGGAAACACCCACAGCGCCTCACCCCCCCTTGGGCTTGCCCCCCCCCTTTCCTGGCCTTTTGTTTGGAGCCTTCTGAGGTGGTGCTGCTGCTTGGCCAGGGTGCCAGATCGCCCCGAACGGGCTCGGCCTCTTCCCCCCCCCCCACATACCTTCCACTCATCGTCCTGTGCGCGGGGGGGGAACGGGACGCCCGTTGACCTCAATGGGCGAGAAGCCGCCTTTGTGATAGATGCATCTCTCCCCCTCCCCCTTTCCTATGAATGTTCTTGTACTAGTTGTTGATAACATTATTGACTCAGTTTCCATAACAAAACTACCTCTTGTGTGGCATCCTGTTTATCGTCTCAAAAAGGGATTGTGTGGAAAAAAAGAAACAGCATTTTTCCTTGTGGGTTGTTTCCCATCCCCCCAAAAAAGATTCCTTTAAAAAAAATTTTTAAAGGCACGGTTGTGGCTGGAAATGAAATTCAGGAAGGGCATCGCTGGGCACGGGGGTGGTCCTTTGCCACCTCCCGGACTTTCGGCTCTCCTGGAGGCCTTTGGGTGCAGGAGACGCCGCCTGAGTCCAGCTGGTCAAGAGGGGACCCTGGCGGAGGTGGCAGGCGGGTTTCTGGCAGAGCCAACCAGGAGTCAGGAACACCTGGGGCCCTCTGGGTGCTGCTGGACTACAGTTCCCATCAGCCCCGACCCAGTGATGAGGGACGATGGTGAGAGCTGTAATTCCCCTCCTGCAGTTATTTATCCTGGGCCTATGAGCTAGTCACCTTAACGGCCTTTCCAGTGTTATTTCAGCAGATCTCCCATGATCCCTGGTCAGGGGGCTGTGCTGGTTTGGGAGCTCATGGGAGTCGTGGTCCAGCTTCACCCAGAAGGCCACCTGTCTACCTCCACCCCTACCTGCCCTGCGGGACCCCATAAGTTGATGTCATCTAGCCCCACGCGGTTGGGTGGCAACCAAACAGCCCCCATTCCTAGAAACCTTTGCATGGACGTGGGTCTCCACCCGCCTGGCCGCCTGGACAGCGCAGGCGCCGCGAGAGAAAGGTGTGTGTGGGGGGCTCCCCTCCCTCGACCAAGGGGACAGAAATGCCTTTTTCCCCACAATCCCTTGTCATAAATCAGGGAAGCAGGGTGTCGCCGCAACATCACAAATAGTGAATGTTTAGCTGTTGTGTTTTAATGTGCTTGGAGCAGGAGCATCGGGCAAGCGGGGGGGGAGAGCCTCCCCTGGGCTCGGCCGGGAGGGCCCACCAGCAGCTCTCTTCGTACGCCCCCCCCCCGTCGTGACACTCTGACCAAAGGGACATCCCGGCCACCCGACGGCAGGGCCGGCCCGCCTCTCGCTGGCGCCCGGTGGCCCACTTGGGCTTCGCAAGCTCCGCTCTGTGACTTAACTACCTGTGG